TTTTTTTTTTAGCTGTGTCATGTCCGGGGAAAATCGGTCGGGAAAAAAAATGTGGACAAACAACAACAACAAAAAAAACTCAATGAATATTAACCAAATAGTAGTTTGCAACGGGAAAAAAAAAAAAAATCATCAGGCATTATTAATGCCACGACAAAAAAAAAACGAAAATTCACTTAATTTTTTTTTTTTTTTTTTGATTTTTCTCGTGTTTGTTATCGATACGAAAACCTAAAAACATTCGACGCAACATAATTCAACATCGTGTTTTATGTTTTTCAAACACAACAAACTTTCACAAAACTTACTCTCTGTCGTACTTTTTTTTTTTAAACAAAAACCACGACAAAAAATATTCATTCAATTTTATTTACTTGTTATAAACAATAAATTTTTATTAAAAATAACCCATCAACCTCATACGAGGCGTATTTATTAATAATAATAATAATATTAATAAAGCTCTTTGCCCCTTCACAACAAGGATTTGACCTTAAAAAAAATTTTTTATTTAACGTTAACGAAAAAAGTGTGAGACTCGAAGTTTTTGGGCGTTAATAATAAAAAAAAACCATGAATTATTATGTAAGAATTATTTTATTTCTTATAAAATATAAGAATATATATATATATATATATATATTGATTGAAATCAGTAGGTATTGTTTGTGTGTGTGCGTGTGCGTGTGTGCGTGTGTGCGTTGTTCGAATGGATTTTTATTAGTTCGTGCAAGCCGAAAAAAAATATAAAAAAAATTTTTTTTTTTTTTTCTTCCAGGTATTCGAATAAAAAAAAAAAAGAAAAAAAAACGTTTTATTATTATTATTATTATTTGCTTCCATATACGTTGTGCCGGTTTTTTTTTTTAACGGTTATTATATTATCGTATGAAAAATAATAATAATAATAATAATAATTGATTTTGAATACTTCCGTTTAATGAACGTTTTCAACGTATAATTTAATAAATGAAAATTTATATTTTATTACGTATCAAGTCCTAACAACAACAAAATGATATTTAAATTTTAAATCTTTTGTTTTTAATTCTTCACCTCTCTCTCTCTCTCTCTCTCTCTCTTTCTTTCTTTTTCTCTCTTTTTTTACATTATTATTTGTTTTTCGAATCACGATGATTTATTTTGTGCGAATTTTTTCAAGATTAATCTTACATTTTTCACGTTTTTTCGGAGAAGTTTTTTTTTGGGTATCACCCCGGAAAAAGCCCCCCCTCACCCTCACGAAAAAAAAAAATGGGAGGAGGAGGAGGAGATTCGTAGGAAATAGAAATCAAAGTGTGGCCCAACGACGACGACGAAATAAAAAAAAATTTAATGTGGCATTAGTATTTTTATTACTTTTGCATATAAATCGGTCGGGGAGAGAATTGGATCGTGTTTGTTTGTAAGTTTGTTTTTTTTTTTTTTCAATTTTATGTTTGTAAATTGATAAGTTTTTACGATTAAAACAACATATTATTATTATTATTATTGATTTAAATTTATTTTATTATCGTAAAATAATAATGATGATAATTTAGTAAAGATGAAAATGATTTCAAGTTTTTTTTTTTTTTTATATTCATTCATTAATTTCGATTGTGGATAATTTTAAAATATAGCATTGGATTACAACGACAAACAGAAGAATAAAAAGAGAGAGAGAGAAAGAAAATGTTTGTGCGTTTGCATGTGGAAAAAAGACAACAAACAAAACTTGATATTAAACCTGATATACCTTTTAATTACTTATCAAAGTTTATCACTTTATTAAAATGATGACGATCACGGATTATTCCAGTTCTGCGAAATCCCGTCCCAGGAAATTGTTCCGCAAAAACAAGAAAAAAAAAAAAAAAACGTAGGACAAACATCGCCTTGGCCTTTGCCCGGAAGTTTGTTTGTTTGTTCGTTTGATTGAATTTATATTAAAAAAAAAAATAAAAATAAAAAAAATGGACGACATTGTTTCAAAATCCACCTACAAAGGCGTTTTTAATACGTCAATGTCGTTAAACAAAATAAAACAAAACAAAATTTATAATTCTCTTTTATATAAAAACATTTTTTTTTCCACGAATAACAAACAACAAAAGAAAGAACAACAACAACAAACAGGTCTACCGAATTTTGTAACATTTTTTTTTCTATTGTCGGCATCTTGAAAAAATTATTACGTTTTCCCCCTATCTCTCTCTCTCTCTCTTTAACTTTTTATTTCGTGTTCGCCATATTGTTTTCCCAATAATGATAATAATAATAATAAGATTCGTATGCGTATTTGAGCGTTCCGTAATAATAATAATAATAATAATTTTTTTTTAACACTACAATCAGATAATATTAAATAATCTCGCGTTTGTCGTTTTAAAAAATAAAACCCGCGCAGGATGCGCAAATAGAAAGATTCAAAAGAGAAAGAAGAAGATTCTGGACCAGAGATTCTGTAATATTCTAAAACATAATCATTTTATGTTTTTTTTTTTTTTTTTTATACTATATCATTTGCAAATCAAAACAAAACATAAATAATATGATAGTAATTGTGCAACCGAATAGTCGATATCACGAATCCCTGTTATCAAATTGAGAAAAAAACATGATGTTTGTTTGGTTGTTTTGAGATTTTTTAACAAAAAACAACCAGAGGGTAAAAAAAAAAAAACAAAATTATTGTTGTTCTTGTTTATAATCGTAATGATATGCTTTACGATAATAGCAATGGCGATTTGCCATTTTAAATTTAAACTCAACAAAAATTTTTTTTTTTTTTGATTTTTTTTTTTCGCTTCTGGAATTTTTTTACCCTAAAGATAATATAAACCTTTACGCGCGTGCACGAATAGTTTATCCGGAAAAAAAAAAAAAGAAAATTTCCCGTTGAATTCGTGCCAAAGGAAAAAAAGAAAATTAAAATAAACTAGGTAGTAAAAATAGTAAATATCAATATGAGACAATTAACATAATTATTTGTATCAACATTTAAATGATTTTATTATCATTTACGTCATTGATAAGAGAAAATGAGGAAAATCTTAAAAGCTCGTACAAACAACCGAGTAGAATTTTACAAATGTTTTTTCCATTTGGTTAAACGATTTAAAACAAACGGGTAAAGATGAATTCAAAAAGGAAAAAATTGGAATTAATTACCATAAAATAAAAATTTTCCGCCCCCCGCCACATTATTTTTAAAATCAATAAAAGGGAAAAAGGAATGAAACAGGTATAACAGAAAAAAAATTATTATCCATGCGTAAAACCAACAGAAAAATAAATTTATAAGAATCGTTTGTAGAAAAAGGATGGGTGGGAAAGGAAAAAAACTTAAAAACAACCAACAACAACCAACAACCACAACAATAATAAATTCTAAAAAAGAATATTTAATTAATTCCGTTAATAATAATAATATTAAAAGTGTTTTGTGTTAATGACTAAATTAATTTATTTAATAAAAAATTATACACCGAAATGCGAAAAAGAAAAAAACGCCCGAAAAGGAATGAAAAAAAAAAAAATTTACACCCACCCCCCACCCCCAACCTTTTTCTAATAACCCCCTTAATTATAAAAAAAAAAAAAAGTAATAATTAATCGCGTCGATGAGTTGTAAATAAAAAAAATTTTTTTTTTTTTTTGTCGGGCGAAGTAAAAATCGTAAGTGTGTGTGTGTCTCTGTCTTTAAGGGGTTGTTTTTTTTTATTATTATTATTATACTACTACCCCGTGAGGGTTGTTTAATAGGCAATACAAAACTTTCATATCGAGTAATTGGAGGTCAAGGGATGACATTTTTCCCTCATTACTCGTTATTTATTGGCACACTAATCTCTTTACGGGTGTTAATTTACCCACTGATTTCTTATTAAACTTTTACGTTTCCTTTCATTTTCTTTTTTAGTCCCTCACGCTTTCGGCATCGAATAACTATTAATAATAATAATAATAATAATAATAATAATAATAGAGTTTCATCTTACCTGCGTTTGAGTTAATCCTAAACTTGCTGCCAATTCCGCCCTTTCGGGCAATGCCAAATATTGCGTTCTCTGAAATCTTCTGTTTAATTGTTGCAACTGAAGACTTGAATATATGGTACGAGGTTTTCTCATTTTTTTACCTTTTCCATTTACCCTCAACGGTCCATCTTCAACCCCTATTTTATCTGTAAATTAAAATTTTTATCATCTTTTAAAAAATTCCCATTTTGATACCATAATAATAATGATGGCAAATTTTCAATCGACTAATTTTTAAGTATTTGTTCCGAATACCTCCTCCTCCTCCTCCCTCCCTTCCTCCCAATTGAATACAATATACGTTTTATAGTCACACATGAAATCCGTATCTAATACCTCTTGTACCTTAATTTAAACGTGGCAGGTTAAAAAAAAAATAATAATAATAGATAAGAAAACAATTGGCGATTTGGCACGTGAAGCATCTTATTATTAAAATTTCACTTATATGCTCTCGTTCAAAAATTTGTCACTTTCTTTTTTTTTTTTTTTTACACCGTATTTACTACTATTTAATGGTAACGTGCCAATAGAATAAGATTTTATTATCTTTACACAAAAAATTTTTAGTAGAAAGAAAAAAAAAAGCGACACAGTTATGTACTCTCGGGCAAAAAAAATTTACATGTTTAAAACAAGTTTCATTTTGATTTTTTTTTTGTTTTCGAATACTTACAAAAAAAAAAAAAAAAAAACTTGACGAAACAAAATCAAAGACAAAACTTGAAATGGAATTTGCGTGATTCATTATTCGCGGGAAAAAATAATAAAATGTTAAAACGACTAAACAATTCCGACAAATAGAAACAAAAGCAACAGTAAAAAAAAAAAAAAAAGAAAGAAATGAAAAACAACAACAACAAACTACAACATCCGGTATTCGATGGTAAAAGACACGATAATTGTCGTGTGGTTGACCCTAAGAAATGTTTAAAAAAAAAAAATTTTCCAAGTCGAAGGTGACTGCTGTGAGTGTGAGAGAGAGAGAGAGATTTATATTAAAAATGGCGACTGTAATAAAATAAAAACATGCGTTAGGGAAAAAAAACAAAAAATGCGTGTGTGAGATTCGATTCGATAGTTGTATTGAAAATTGCATAAATCGAAAAACAGGAAATGACGACAACGTTCAAAGGCTTCGGCGAAAAAAAAAATAAATAAATAAATTTCTTTTTTTTGCTTTTTTGTTGTTGGCACAACCTGTATCATTAAAATAACGAACTTGTTAATTAACTGTAAAAATTAATTAATAATATTTATGTATAACAAGTTCGACAGTAAAAAATAAATTTTGAATTATTATTGTTCAGAAAAAAAAAAAAAAAAATTTCGTGTTTTAAAGTGTCTTATTTGTAAATCAGTTTCCGGATTTTACATAAATAAATCAAATTATAAGAAAAAAAAAAAACGTGTATTTAGAACACCTTCGCGATTAAATATACGTTAAAAATGATGAGAACCTTAATAAATTTTTTTTTTTTGTGAATTTCTTTCACTTGAGAGTATTTTCATTCATAGTAAGAAGATATTTTGAGTGCGTAAGTGCGCGTAGAGTGCCTAATTCTAAAAGTGATTTGTAGTCCAGGAAAAAAAAAAAAAAACCAGTTTATGGGTTAAAATTTTTTTTTTTTAATTACAACCTGCGTTCGCAAGGTCGGTCGCCCCAACTTTAGGTGTCACCCGTACCCAAAACCAAAAAAATGTTTATTTATTTATTTGCTTACTTACCTAATTCAGATTCTTTAGGTGGGCTTTGAGGACCGTAACCTCCTAGGTGGTATGAACTGTAACTATTTTGATGCATGGGCGGAAATGGATATCCACCAGAACCGGGAGACGTCTGATGGTGGTTAAAATGTCCGTAAGCCGCTCTTATAGCGGGATTATATTGCTGTTGTAGTTCTATGAAAGCACTTTTGTTTAAACTGTTCAAACCCCCGGGGGTATTACTCGGTGGTACCGGAGTATTAGGATTCGAAAGACTTTCATTGTTGTGAGGAGTAGGAGGAGGATTTAAATGGTGACCGTGAGTCGAATGATGGTGGTCCAAATTATCGTTTGAATTTAAGGGTATTGGAGTCGGAGTCGGAGTATTTGATCCGCCATTATTATTTCCGGTTCCTGACCCGAAAGGAGATCCTAAATCGGTAAAATTCATTTTTAACTTTTTTTTTTTTTTTTTTACTTTTTAAAACTTCACATTTAATTTAATTTTTTCCTGGATTTGAACTAATTTTCTTTTATCTTTCCGTCACCATTTCTTTTATTCCAAAAAAAAAAAAAAATCTTCCAGTTTTTCCTAATGCACGATACCTGGAAAAAAGAAAAATAATAATAATTTTAGACGACTTGTACGTAACAAAAAACAAAAAAAAAGAAAAAATTTGTCGGTTTTTTTTTTTTTT